TTTTGCTATGTCTTTGTTCACACTGTTACCACTACTTTTTTCCCATTTCCACATATCAAAGCAATCTAGGCCCATGTCAAATGCCATCATTTCCTTGAAAGCTTCTCTGATTTTTCCATCGAATGCATTCGGTTTGCATCTCTTTTATAGCCTGTATAAAATTCTACTTTCTATTACATTTGTGCAAATGCCTTTAACTTCATAAGCTGTAAGCTGCTTGAAGGTAGTATAGTGTAGTAGGCAATGGTCAGGCTCCAGAGTCAAACAGACTGGATTCAAATCCTATCTCTACTTACTAGATGTGATCTTCGGGCAAGTTACTAAATTTCCCTGGGCCTCAGTTTCCTCATCTGTAAAACATGGATAGTAATAGCACTTATACATGTATTAGTGTTGTGAAGATTAAATGAGGTAAATAATGTATGTAAAGTGCTAACACAGTGCCTGGCATATCAAAATCATATATTAAATTTTAGCTACTGTTTTTATTGTCATCATTATTGCTAAGGGGAAAATATCTTTATCCCTATATGGTCTCAGTCACAAAGATCCCAGTAACAGTCTATTGAATAACCAACTTTGGACTACAAAATTGCATTCTTTAAATATCCCTGAGATCTCCCTACACTGAAACAGTCTCTTTTTTCCCCCAATTTCCCCAGTATTTTCCCCCCTATAACTTACCTGGTGCAAAATGGTGTATCGTTCACGAAACAGCTCTGCTTTATCTCTTGCTGTTCCAAATAAATTTGGTGCCGGGTGGTTGGTCATTAACAGACTAGAAAAAAGGAATCCCTATTTTTTACTATCATAGTATACAAACATGGTCCAAAAGTGAAACATAAGACTATATACCTTCTGAAAGAAATGTACATTTGAAATTCACTTAAAAGCAATAGATGGTATACTTACGGAAGAAATTTTTTTCTTTCTGAGTTGTACACAAAGCGTGGAATATCAAATGCTCCTATGATATTGAAAACATGTTCTCTGAAAAACATCCCACAAAAACACAGACTTGATTTACTAAAACATAAGTACTCTAGGTGAACATAATAACTTACATTATAATCCTTTGTCATACATAATGTACTTTTCACATTTTCTCAGGTGATGCACATAATTTCTTATAGTGTCAAAAATACTACCTGGGTAAAATTTTTAGCTCGTGCATTTCCTTTA